CGATTTCCCTGGCCTTAGCACCTTTCCATCGCGTCTCCTGAAGGCATAGGACTGGATATTCTTGCGCGTCATCAGGTCAGCAACCTCTCGGGGACTTTCCCAGTTAGCGATCCCACGTTCAGAGTCCCTATTCGAACTAGCTTCTTTGGCCGAGGCCGTTCACTCCTCGGTAGCCCTCGCATACTGACCACAGAACTCGGGCGGGGTTCTGCGCGCCACTTCCGGGTGACGTCCTAGCTTTATCACTGATTTTTGCGACTTTTAGACATGTTGGTGTGACTGGGGTGTTCATCAGCCGGCCTGTCAACCTGGGCCTGACGCTGGTACTAGAACCATTTTTGCAATTTTTGCAAGGCATGGTTAGCCTCGGCAGGGATCGAACTCGCGGTTTTCGGAGGTGCAGACATGAGTCTAACCTCTTAACCACTCGGCTATCCCTGCCTCGGCAAGGTAGTAGGAGTTAGGGTAAAAATGGAAGAAATGGTGGAAATAGAAGGAAATTTTCGGAGATATTTACCGTTTCAGAGTGACTATATACCCCCTCGACGGCATTTTTGGAGGAAAAAGTGGGCGGGGTTTTGATGGAAGATGGAGATGGTGGAGGTAGGGAAAAGGGGGTCGTATCAAATCCACCTTGGGGGAGGGGGGTCGTAAAAATTTTTGAAAAGTAACAACGATAGGACAGACCCTGGTCAGGAGTATACGCAACGGTTTTTCGTGCTTCTCTTTTTTGCCAGAAAAAAATCAATGGTGGCCTCGAAATTTTTTCTTTTGAATATCCTGATTCTTTAAGACTTGAGGATATAAAAACACTAGAAAACATAGTATATCAATCTTTGGAGGGCGTTGCTCAAGCGAGAAAAAATAATGCACTAAAAATCGTTTCGGCGAACACTTTTGACCGCTACTGTATATGACCCTTTATTGAATTCTTCCGGAATCACAGTGGGTATAGATGGAACTGAACCGCAATTTGGTAATTTTGTTCAAGTAGCAACGATACTGGACACTCCTCTCCAGTGTTTCAACCTTCGATACTGTTGAAGTCATAATTTACAATGAAAAGGCAGCCCATTAGAAATCAAGATAGAATTGGTCAGTAGTGCAGGGACGGAAAGAGTGTTCGCCTGTTTTTCCGCTAGGCACATTTCGCCTTCTTCTACCTCCGACCTTAACATGAAATCTCCCTTCATGTTGAAGGGTCGGCATTAACTATGACCAGGGTGAAAATCGTGTCGAGGGCGTGGTCGCAGCAGTACGACCTCGGCCTAGGGGTCTTGATACGATCCCCTGACTTTGATTTGATGTGAATAAGCGAGTTGCATTGTATGTACTTTGAAGTATTCAGTTGCAGCGCGGTTTATCCGTGGGTCAGATTTGCTGAAACCCCGCTCGAAACCGTCGAAATCTACACGATGAAAAGGTTCCATTCCTCCATTTCATAACCTTTTGAACAGTATGTGGTAGGGTTAGATAGAGCTAGGATTTCTTGTTACCAACCAGTGTTGAAGTTCAAAAATTAAATAAAAGACGTGAAGAGGACCACTAGTAAAAAAGCAAGAGCGTCATAGAGCATGCTAAAACCTACATTGTGGGATTGGCCATGATATGACGGAAAGATATTAGCGCTGTGAAGAGAGAGAAAACGCGATAGAGCACGTTAGTGCGCAGACGCTACGCATGTTGAGATTGAAGAGAACGGCAGCGGCCGCAGCGTGTAATGTCTCTAGTGAACACAACTAACATACATATTCATGTTGGAAAAGAATGTAAGAATTTTCCGGGGAGCATTCCCCCAATTTTGTTGCTGACGGCGGATGGCCTCATATTCTGGATCCTGTAAGGGCGATAAATGAGGTCGATGGCATTTCGCGATTCTATTCTGCCGCTGAGCTTCCATCTACCTAGTCACCCTGTGTGATGTCAACTTTTTGAGCTTCTCTGCATATCCTTGGAATTCCTAATCTGTGTATCTGTGAACTATTTTTCTCACTGCCTGACGAATCACCTGTAGAAGGTGAGTCAAATTTAGGATTGGTGGGGCATGTGCAAAAATGTGTACAGGGTGGCCAGAAATTACGGTAACAAGATGAAGGGGTCATAGGAAATCTGTACAACTAGAAAAAGATAGGTGGGAAACAAGAACGTGTTCCACTGAAGGGTAATGAATGTAAAACCATATGGTCCTTTCTAGCTTCTTCTTCTTCTTTTTCTTTAGCGTTTGTCCCGCCTGGTGGCAGGGTCCGCTTTTCTGATGTGTTGACGCCACTTTTCCCTATTGAATGCCTGATCGGGATGGATACCAGCTAACTTTAAGTCCATATGCAATGTATCAAGCCAGCGCTGCTTTGGACGTCCCTTAGGCCGTTTGCCGGGCACATCGATGTTGAGGCTCATCTTACGCACAGTGTCATCGTTTCCACGAAGCACATGACCATACCATCGAAGTCGAGCTTCCCGCATCTTATCAGCAATAGGAGCTACACCAAAGCGATCGCGTATGGTATCATTACAAATACGATCTAAACGCGTGACACCAGCCGTCCAGCGCAGCATTTTCGTCTCCATTACACCGAGGCGGGCTTCCATTTCCTTAGTCGTGGGCCAGCACTCAGCGCCGTACATTGCCACCGGTCTTATGACGGTTCTATAGATCTTCGATTTCAGGCGTTCTGGAATCTTTTTGTCGCAGAGAACACCCGTCATAGAACGCCACTTGGACCATGCAGCACTCACGCGTGAACTCACTTCAGTACCCATACTACCATCTGACGCTATTACCGATCCAAGATACTTGAACGTGGTCGTGCGTGATAGCTCTGTAGCCCTATCCGGTTTGAAAAAAGCGCGAAAAGTCTTCCAGGGAATGCACTGACTGCGGCGTGTTGATGAGCGGCCCCGACCGCGTCCAGGCATTATGAAGCGGTTCCTTCAATCCCTTAACGTCACCATGATGTCAGCGGCAGGTGCTGGTCTTCCCCACTCTTCGTGAAGCGTGAACCAGTAGATTTGAATTGGGAACTCTAGGTCGCAACTTTCCAAACGCAATTATCTCTGGGCAATTCAGCTGGCAAGAACTTTGCACAAATTTTCTCGTGTGCCGGTTCAACAGAAACGTTCGATGAGGTTGCTATTTCTTCCCTTGGTTGGAGGAATTATTTGAGTGAGAAAGAAATCGAGATGGTCTTTTCTCTTCTATTTTATGTTTTGTGGAACAAAAGTCAAAAGCGACGTGATTTTCGGTTTCATCACCGTAAAAACCTTCACTGTTTCCGGACCCAGTTATGTCTGAGATATTGAACTTTGGCTTTGTTTGGAATACAGTTTTGGTCGCTCTATCCATTCATGACTAATTCGACTGTGAGTACTTCCTCATCAGCGAAAAAGGTTGTCAATATGAACTGAGACAACGCCTCCGTCCAGCTCCAGCTCCTCTTCAGTTTGCTCGCCTCATTGGAGAGCTGAGCTGTTCCAAGCTAATGTGCCTCACCCATGGGATGTCTTCTGACGATCACATGCAAAGAAGTGCACCTGGTCCCTAACACGGGAAAAAATGACCTGCTGAATGTGCTAGATTCCATCGCTGCTCAGCGCCTACTTTTTCAACATTGTTCTCAGTAACAACAAAAGCTCCTCTCCCACGTGCAATCCAATCGCTTCTAGCACCTAGCCAATTGTTCTTCGCAATAGTGGTTGTTGCAGCTTTACTGAAGATCCTGATTCGCTTTGCAACGTAACACCACCAGACATGTTGAAGAAGCAAGCGGGTCGTTATTTCATGAAGAGCTAAAGGCTTAAACAATCAAAACTAGGTACTAATTTCTGGCCACCCTGTATAATAAAATGCACTTATGAATCAAGTGAGAGCCCGCTCGAATCTGCAGGACATGCTCCAAAATGGCAAATGTCCATGAAAAGAACCTTTGTGTTAGCAGCGGTTCGATAGATGAGGCAAAGGAGACCCACCCATGTTGGGCGGAGCGTTCCGTAAAGAGGCGGCCCTTATTACGAGAAATAATCCAATAGTGCTTGCTGCGGATGCACAAAATTATTCGAGGATTCTATAGACATTTAACAAATTCTATAGACAAAAAACAGGAATAAACTAACGGGTCAAAGTCAATTACTAATGGTAGGCTGAAAGCACATTGCAGGAGAAGAGCCCGAAACCAGAAACACTTGTTGCCGTTCCGAGAAGGCCGCAAGTTTAGGATAATGACTTAAAGTTAGCTTTTTTAGATGGAATGAAATTTTTAGTGCATGGGAGCATTTATAAATGGCAGTATGTCACCAACCAAACTTAGCCATCGCACACACAAAGCTGGGGGGTAACGCAGCCCGTCAACTGAGAGGTGTTTGAATGTGA